CCACCTAACCTCTGGATATGGTGTCGTGCCAAGCCTGATACGTTGGCGTGAATGTCGAATATGTTAAAAATAGGAATGTTTACATGCGCAACCAGGAGCAATGTGGTGGTGTCTCAAAACGTACTTCATAGACCTTTGTTATGTGTAGCTGTGAAATATCTAACGTACAAAATTACTGAGAACGAATTTGTGATATGTTCCTTTTTAACACATGATTCTCTCTTGCTCTCGATAAACACCCTCATGTTGTCAGGGGTCTATCAGAGTACTATTCCCCCTATTCCTGCCCTGCTAAACTGATCAAATATGTACAGTATATACCAAACTCTTAATTTCCCTCACTGCGTTTCCATGTAGATGGATTTTGGTGATAAAGATCATCCCACAAAAATAAAATACTAGGATGAGTACTTTCTGGTGGTATTGCAGCACTCCCACAATCATTTTGCCATCAACCGAACCGCTGATATTAGCCTTGACGAAAAAACAATACTCTCCAAAGCAACTTTCATTTTCTGAAACATGTTAGAAACGACTCAAAAACCAAAGAGCTCAGTAGTTAGTTGCAGGCTAGTGTACAGATGGACAGCTAGCTCAAAGTACCACCCACTTGTAACATGTAAAATGTAACATGTTGGAGAGTCATTGCACTTGAAAAAATTAAAGTTACAGTCAACTTCCGATACACTCTATCTCCAAGAGAAAAAGCAAAATGTTCGAATTGTTGAAAGTTTAATTATTGCATTTAAAATTATATCAAAAATGGCTTGGAGGGAAATGACAAATTGGTTTGAGAGCAAGGGTTAGAGTTTTCGAGAGTCAACTGTTTTAACAATAACCCAACATGGTATTTGAAGACAAAGTTGCCTTGCTGCCAAATTGTTAAATTGAGAGTTCTTTAACAATAATATTTGGACTTAACTACAAGATATATGATTGCAGCCTGCTCCCTTTGCCATGTCCACTGGAAAAAATAACGGATTCCCATTTTTGGACATTTTAGGGTATTTAAAGAATACCCATTGAAATCCCAAATTTGGAAGAGTGAGACAAGTCCGAATCAGGGAACTTGGTTGGGAATTCCCTGGTTGGGACTTGTCTCACTTTGCCAAATTTGGGATTTCTATGGGTATTCTTTAAATACCCTAAAATGTCCAAAAATGGGAATCCGTTATTTTTTTTCTGTGGTCACAAGAAAACAAAGAATACAAGTTAACTAGATTAACATAAATAACTAACACCTAAGTGGGTGTCAAGACCCCTTTGTCTCCTAGCCCTACGTATAATATGTATGCTAAGGAAATTGGGAATGAAAACCTTAGTTTAATACCACTTTTTAAAAAACAACAACAAACTCCTATACCATTATCATTCTTAAACAGAGGAATATATCCTCACAGCTACTTAAGTTCAGTAAATGTAACTGCGAGGGTCTGTTAAATCATTACTCTGCAAAAAAAATAATATAGGAGGTAAAACGCTGCTTGGCTATATTACATATCAACGTACTATATATTTGATAACTGAGGTTGGATAGAACAATACACCACTAAAGCAGGTTTACGGGTTCACATCTCACTAAAGACTACTTGTACTACAATGTTTGTAACTATGAGACATTATCGACTCCACCCACCTTCATGTAACATGTTGATGTGAGGTCCTGATGCTGCCACTCTATCACTGTATCCTTTGTTACAGGAACACTGATAGAGCCAATGGACAGCTTCACCACCATGCTCATCTTGAAAGCAACAAGCTCTTCTTTCAAGGGACATGTATTCCTTATTCTGTAATTTTTGGAACGTGCAAACAATTTTATACAAGATGTTGTTACACTACATGTAGCTCTGTACAACAGTGTGCTCAAAAGGATTCGATGTGCTTGTGCCCAACCTTGAGAAGGTGGTATGATCTGTGCACAAACTAAAGAGAATCTACATGTAAAAGGCAAAATAAGCGGCTATGTAAATCCCAACAAATCCATCAATGGGTGCTGCATTCTATTAAGGACTGTGTAGTAGCAAAAAACAATGAGTGAGAAGTGCTGGCTGCTTATGCAACTTTTTTTAAGCTTCACCACGCATTTGAAAGCGTTTCCAGTCCTCTAACATGTTTCGTTTCGAAAATACAGCAATTTGAACTTCTGAGTTTTCACAGTGCATGACACCAAAATAGGAATGCTGTCTCAATGAAAAAAGTCTCTCCTCTTGATTTTTAGCAGTATAACCATTTCAAGTATATGTTTATGTGCACATATGCTAGTTTCCCAGTGAAAAGAAAGAGCTTTTATAGAAAAAGTGAACTCCAGATGTTTTTGTTGATTTCTGGCAGCTGTATTGGTGCACCAAAACAGTACACCAATATGGCATCTCCATACAAAGCTCCACAAAGGTGCATGAAATGTTTCGACAAGTAACTCAGAAACTGTGGGCCACAAAGACCTGAGACTTGGACAAATTTTTTATAACATTTCAATTTCTTGGCTTCTTCCACTGGACAGTTTCCAATTTATTATTTTGTTGCATGACAGTGAAAAGAATCTATAGAGAGTTTATAAAAATATGAGGATACTAAGTTCCAATAAAGACTTACCCACAGAGATCTTGTCCGCAAGTTAAAGTCCCTCAAAAAGAACTTTGTTGCAGCAGTGTCTAAAATGACAACTGCATTTCTGGTGAGTTGTACCTCCAGTAACGTTACCATGCAGTATACCAGAAACCTAGAAACATTGAAATTAAAATATAAATGTTCTGAAACATCACTTTTCAGCACACCAGAAACCTGGAAATATTGAATGTATATATTAGGTGCGGTTACACAGGGCACTTTTTCCATGGGAAATTGCCCTTCTACCACGGGAAACTGTATTTAACGGTGTGACCGACGTTTCCCAAGGTAAGTTTCCTGTGTTAAATAAACAGGTTTCTTTCACACTGATTGAACTAATTTGTTGGGCTAGACTGATTTAGGAACAATACTTACAAAAAAAATTTGTTCTATTTCTGGCATGTAATCAAACTGCTAACTACCTTCACTAAATCATAGAGACTAACACTAACATACCAGTTGAAATTTGCGCTAAACGCTACGTAAATTTTCAACATAACATGAAATACTACAATCATTGACAGCGATAATTACCACAATAGAGCAAATGAAGCCGTAAAAGTGGCTAAATCAACTTGGGAATTAATTCATGTGTAACCATATGTTGCTGTGGTAAACTAAATCCACGCGAAAATTTACTACGGCTTTGTTAATGTGGGAAATGCCTTTTACCGTGGTGTGAGTAACCGCACGTATCATCTACACCACTCTAAAGGCCGGTTCCAGTATGATTGCTACGATCACTGTGATGGCTGCGATCACTGAAAAAAAGTTTGGCGATCGTGGCAATTGTAGCGGTCATATGGAAACCAGCCTTCAATTTAAGATTACTCCAAATCTCTTAAATTAAGAAAAAAGTTTTCTTATTTTATGAGAAAATTTAAAACAAATCATAAGATATAAACTCTTTTTTAAACAGGCAGTTTAAATCACAGAAAAAAGAGTTCTTATCCTATGATCTGTTTTAAATTTTCCCATAAAATAAGAAAACTCTTTCTTAAATTGAGAGATTCGGAGCAATCTCGAATTTAGAGTGATATTTTCTTGGCATGGTGCAAATCATATCATGAGGTCGAGATGATTACAAAATGTTCTTACATCAAAAAGGCATCATGTACATAGCATCTTATTTAAAACCTTGCCAAGGAAGACTNAAAGTTTGGCGATCGTGGCAATTGTAGCGGTCATATGGAAACCAGCCTTCAATTTAAGATTACTCCAAATCTCTTAAATTAAGAAAAAAGTTTTCTTATTTTATGAGAAAATTTAAAACAAATCATAAGATATAAACTCTTTTTTAAACAGGCAGTTTAAATCACAGAAAAAAGAGTTCTTATCCTATGATCTGTTTTAAATTTTCCCATAAAATAAGAAAACTCTTTCTTAAATTGAGAGATTCGGAGCAATCTCGAATTTAGAGTGATATTTTCTTGGCATGGTGCAAATCATATCATGAGGTCGAGATGATTACAAAATGTTCTTACATCAAAAAGGCATCATGTACATAGCATCTTATTTAAAACCTTGCCAAGGAAGACTTCAATAAGCTCATTGTACGAAGAAAACCAAAAACACTACATACTTATAATTCTAAGACATGTTCTAGAGCTGCAAAAAATGCAACAAAAAGGTTTTTTTGTGGGTTTGAACTCTGTGCTGGCTGAGATATTTGACCGCCAACCAGTGGCTGCAACCTCTGGGTAACTCCGCCTGTTACCCGAGATACTAGCTGCACTTTGTCTCCTAGCATGCTGAGGTGAAGAGGAGACCAAAGCCTCCAAGGGCTAAGTTTACGGGCACTTTGATCTCTGGGAGTGCCAAGGAGGCCTCTACAGAGAACAAGACAACGACAACAAGAACCTAGAACTAAAACTGGAGGGGAAATTAGAAGAAGCATAAACACTTAGGGCATGGCTGACACAAGTTGGCCGCAATCGCCCGTCAAAACATTCAAGAACTAAAATTTGAGAGCAACAATGGCTCGAATAAATGTAATTTGAGCAAGAAGAGCTCACAAACAAACAAGAACAATAACGGCTTAACTGTTAAAAAAGTGTCATATGCTAATGTACAATGAAAGGTCTTCACAACTGCGAGCCAGCGAGCCATGCAGGTCATGAGAGCCATCAGTAAAAAGAAGTAAAAACTGCAAATTTACAGATTAGGAGTTGAGTACTCATTATACTGATTTGGGTTAAGTGCTGGTTGGGGTTAAATACTCAGTAACAGAAGTTAGCCTTCAGGTAATGTTTTCTGTATTACTGTTGTCGATTTTTTTGGGGGAATTTTTTCAGTGAGTCTTCAATGGACTGCATAGCTCACATGACACTTTGGCTCGCATTTTAAACACACTCCTAATGTATGAGTTGTACCCCTTTACTACATCTCACTCACTTTGCAGCTCTGTGTTTTTGTGCAAAATTATTCTCAGCATTACTTAATAAGGACTGAACTGAAAAGAAAAATACCATGAACACTAGATTCACACTTTTGCTAAGTCTTGCATAAATTACTCCTGTAGGATAAACAGTATTAACTCCAAGGGCATCAAATTGGACGTTCCCATTGGGCTTTCTTATCTTCTTATTACAAACACAGACAAAATCAAAATCGTCTGCTGTAATGTCCTGCAGCATTTCTTTTCCTTTCATTAAGTCTTTAATTTTCTCTCTGATATGAATTTCATCATATCCCTGATAATGTATGTTACCATCAATCAGAACCATGGCATCTGCCAGAGCGTACACTTCTGGGCAGTTTTCCTTGTGATCCAAAACTACAACACGTTTTTTATGAACCCTCGGGGCTGCAACCTTTCCTTTGGTTAGGCCAGTTGCCCTTGAACTTTTGAAGGGAAATCCATGTTTACCAGCCTTTGTCCTTGAACTACCTAGAAACTAGGCTAGTTTCCCCCCACCAGTTCTGTTAGATGTCGCAAGAGACTTCACAAGAGTACGTGCTTTTGATATCACATCAGCCACAGGAGCTGTGGATCTAATTTGTTGTTGCTGTAGATGACCAAAACACTTCAGTTAAAGCCTCTCTTGCTCGAGATGCTATGCAAAAAGAAAACCATTTTGTAACCTAAAAATTTAAGTAAAGTGTTAATAGTGGAGGTACAGTATGGCATAACAGTGGAGAAGTAGGAAGGTAATTTAATACAAAATACAAAGCCCCAGGGGGGACTCCCATATGAAAATAATGGGCAGTGTTGCTTGTTGGAAATTTTGAGTTAAACTCCTGAAGAAGATAAATCTTGGTGTGGCCCAACCTTTTTTGACCCTTAACAGAGATCATCTTAAAGGTAAATTACATGAATCAAGTAAAGAAAACGAATCCAAAAGATATATACATATAACCAAAACAGTACTGTCTGCAGTTTTTTACCATAAAGTTCCCATAGTAGCGACCCTTGGTACATTCAACACCCGTTCAATTTAACTGGGACTCGTTCAATATAATTGGGACTAATTGCTGTTAGCTGTTATTGCCTGTTATCAGCCATTAGAGCCAATCAGGATCAAGATTATCTTTGGCTAAGAGTTAGTCTAATGTTATCAGATAACAAACCTATTAGATCCAATGGCAAGCTTGTTAGTGAATAACGGGATAACAGCTAATAACAGCTAATAATACTTTACCCATTATACCCAATCACAGGTTTGTTAGAGAATGACGGGACAATATGCTACATTCCACAAGTGTGAATTTGACTCGTAAGGTAAAAATCTATTTCATGATAAGTCAGTGCATCATTCTCGAGTACATACTGAAAGGTTGCACCTACGAAACTGTGGAATGTTCAAGAATAGAACAAGAANAGAGATCATCTTAAAGGTAAATTACATGAATCAAGTAAAGAAAACGAATCCAAAAGATATATACATATAACCAAAACAGTACTGTCTGCAGTTTTTTACCATAAAGTTCCCATAGTAGCGACCCTTGGTACATTCAACACCCGTTCAATTTAACTGGGACTCGTTCAATATAATTGGGACTAATTGCTGTTAGCTGTTATTGCCTGTTATCAGCCATTAGAGCCAATCAGGATCAAGATTATCTTTGGCTAAGAGTTAGTCTAATGTTATCAGATAACAAACCTATTAGATCCAATGGCAAGCTTGTTAGTGAATAACGGGATAACAGCTAATAACAGCTAATAATACTTTACCCATTATACCCAATCACAGGTTTGTTAGAGAATGACGGGACAATATGCTACATTCCACAAGTGTGAATTTGACTCGTAAGGTAAAAATCTATTTCATGATAAGTCAGTGCATCATTCTCGAGTACATACTGAAAGGTTGCACCTACGAAACTGTGGAATGTTCAAGAATAGAACAAGAAAATCAAAAAATTACTTCATGATCTTCGAAGAAGCATAACTTATAACAAGCAGGCAACTATCCAACGATCTCTGTTCGAAGGTGCAGTAGAAAACTCAGTTTCTTACGAAAAGTTCTCTTAAGAATCAACATAATTACAATGCCCCCTGAAATAATATAAATCGCTCACCTCAGGTGTTACTTCATTTTCATCTAGAAGAATGTATCACAAAAAGTATCATGACGTGTATGTATCCTTTCGCATCCAGCAATGGCCTTTTTTCTTGTCTCTCTTAATTCCGGACTTTCGTTTACGACACCTTTTGGAAGTAAAAATTTCGAGGACTTCACTTCCTGCTCTCATTTTTGGACTTGCCTCAGAGCAAAAGATTTCCCTCGGAATTCTCCGTGTTCACATGAAAGGATAGCTTACATAGGAGAGTGGGTACGTAGACACTAGCCCTTTCTGCTGTCTTTAACTTTGACAACTGGCTAATCAACATTTTCTGGCTGTACTCTCTTCACTATGTGATATTCCCGTATTCTTGTATTTAATCAATTTTGTATATCAAGATTTTACTCAAGTATAATTTAAAGTATACTACATGTTATTTTAGATTTTATTTTTCCGAGCATTTTATAAAAAACGTTGACCATCATGAAATGTCGCTGGTAAAAAGCAGATCTTATTCTGTCAGGGATTTTTCATCAAGATAATACACCTAATGATTTCTTACACATGATTTTTTTTTGCGTTGTGCTAAAAAAGCACGCAATGACAGGAGCCCATAAATTATGGGCTCCCTGGCAATGAAAATTTTACAAAACGTCATCACAGACCTCATCGCTTCGGCAGGCCCTGGAAACACTATCCGTATAACTTGTGATATAATCTTAATCTGCTGGCCACACAGGCCATACTCCCTCAATACATCAAGCTTAAACTCAAGACTCAAGTTTTTTTGGTTTTTGTTTGTTTTTCGGTTTTTTCACTGACGGGTATGCCTACAAAATAAGAAATAAAATTTTTTTCACTTTTCTCCTTACTGTGTTACCATAGAACAAAAAAGTAATGAATCACCTTTGGTTTGTTTATAACTTTGCTAGTGAGCTTTCTAACAAACATTTACTTGAACGAATTTCTTGAGAATAAAATATATATTGAATAAAATAGGCTTAAGAGGAAATGCTCTCTCTGCCTTATTCTTGGAGCACCGTCGCCTCCATTTTTCCTTTTCTCCTGCACCATGACCTGTCAGCAAAGAGTAGAAAATTAAAATTAAGTTGAAGCTCCTGACCCTTCTCCCCAAGCCAGACATAAATTATTTCATTGATAACTTACAAAAACTCAAGGCAACCAGGGGCTGACAGCAGCACTGTATCTGTATTTTAGGTATGATAAAGTCTTGGCTATAATTTCTCACTATTTTGTCAACAATTCGTTCTCCTGATTACTGTACAGGTTCCGTTATATGTCAACGGGAGATTTAAAGTGTTTTCACGGACACATTAGATTGTATTGCACTGAATGGACAGGATGATTGCATCTTCGTGTGATAATGATTTTTTGTATTTATTTGGTATTGTTTCAACAGTTGACTAGTTTTGACTTTAATGCTTATTCCAGACACCCTTATTATACCAATACTATCTATGGTAGCCTTAGAGCCCAGATGTACAGGATTCGAATGTTGAATGTCACAATGCCTGAACAAAAAGCCCATGAAAGACCACATTTGTGCATTAAGCACTAAAACACGGACTCGCTTGTGGGAAATGGTCTGCTTTCCTAAGAAGATCATTCAGGGTTTCCTCCCGTTGCATTTGTCCGGGTCTGTTGTTGTGGCTTTCTTAATCGGGCGATGCCTCTTCAATTTGTTGAGGTGCTCTTTTATCCTCACTGAGAAATTTGGCAGAAGCAGCTTCCCATTTCGCACAGAATTCTTTCTCAGCAAGGATAAAAGAGGACCACCATTGCCTGTCTTCGTGTGCCAAGCATTTGCACTTTTTCATGCACTCCTTCAGGTCTTTGATTGGCAACAACTTCTTTGTACCAGGCCTGACTAAGGGAGAGATTCCCATGGTGTACTGCTCAAAATGCGTTGACCAGGACCCTTTGGAAGCCACGTCTCATCACTTGCCCAGTTTTTGTATTTCATTGGGACTTGGCCATTCCTCTTTAAGAATCTATAAGTATGAGGGTACACGTGATTTTTTATTTTCTTTAGGAATGGTTTGATCCATTACTTAATATCAAAAATGAATTCTATCACGCGGATGTCTGGAACTGGGGTATAGGCATTTTGAATGTTCCTCACTAAAGCAGGCAACGTCATTGAGTCCTTCATGTGGAGTCATTTTGAAATTCTACTAAAAAACTGAAAATGAAAGGGTGAAAAGAAATTTATTAGACTGCATGAAAATGAATATTGATGCAACTGGAAAAAGTGCATGTTATGAATTGGGTAGATTTTTTATACTTAACTTTTCATACTACTTTGTTTTAGCACACAGTTTCAAAACAAATGCCCTTATTGTTTAGCATATGGTCCATATGCCTCTCCTTGGACCAAAATTACTTGAACTTAAAAGGGAAATTATTTTTGGACAGCATTAAGTGTTATCCGAGTAACAGATATTCTTTGTGCAATGGGAAATTCTAAAGAGCAGATGTATAATAACTCGTCTACTGTACGCATTTTTCCTTACACATTACAAGTAATGAGCTAAAAAATTGTCAAGTCGACATATTAAACATTGTCATTTAAATTTGAAATGCAAAGTAAACGTCTTCATGCGTACGACCGACCATAAGGAAAGACAAGCGAATCTGAAAAGGGGAAAAGACACAAAAAAAATTTGGTTTTACAAAGAACAAAAAGGAAGGAAACTGAAGTACATACTTGAGGGCTTTGTGACCAAAGGGAAAACATGTCATGGAAATTCTTGGCTAAATTGATGGAGTTATACTATTACAGCTGATGCTGTTACTTTATAGTTGTCTTTGGCACTTACTTCCTCAAATATTTCTTTCTCTACAAGAGGTGAACAAAAGCCAAGAATATAGCGATTCTTGCATTCTTGATAACAATTATCCATGTGTAGGAATAGAACAGGGGTAAGCGTCCTTCCTAAAAAAAAAGTGAAAAACCACATAAAAACGGTTATGATGTGCTTAGTCTTGTGCAGTTCTTTTGAAGGTTAGTCATGATAAGTGGAAAACAACAATCACAATTACAAATTAGTATCAGTACCATGGTCAACGGCTTGTACTGACGCTGCAAGCAGAGTCACTTCGATCTTTGCTAGACGAGTCGGGAAAGTTTAAAGCGACTCTGTTAGAAGGGTGAAACATGGTCTAAAAGTAAGAGCGAGGATTGTCTATTTTAACTGTTCTACAAACACAAAATCGTCAGTTTTTAGGAATAATTGATCGCTTAACTCAAGCACCTCAGAGAGTCCCACAAATATCTGTAAAAGGACATTCAACATAAGGTTCGAATCATTTACTGCCACTCTTGCTCCAGATGCTATGCAAAATGCAAAAAGAAAACCATTTTGTAATGTAAAAATTTAAATTAAGTGTTAATAGTTGAGGTACAATATGGCATAACAGTGGAGAAGTAGGAAGGTAATTTAATACAAAATGCAAAGCCCCAGAGGGGACTTCCCCCTCGAAGTGACTCTGTTAGAAGGGTGAAACATGTTATAAAAGTAAGACCCAGGATTGTCAATTTTAACTTGTTCTATAAACACAAAATCGTCAGTTTTCAGGGATTATTGATCACTTAACTCAAGCACCTCAGAGAGTTCCACAAATATCTGTAACAGGACATTCAACGTCAGGTTCGAATCATGTGGCCATCACATTAAGTCTATAAACCTGAAAATTCTGCCGTCTCCATGCAAAATAGCCCCCGGTGACATGGGTTCTCAAAAAGTGATAAGCTTCATCCTATGAAGTAACAGTAAGTTATAAAATAAGAAATTCGAGAAAACGAAATCCAGAATAGTCCCTAGGGTGGGGCATTTGCGCACAGTTTTAAAGCCCCTCGGTGGAGTGACTGGGGTTTTTGTATCTCCTGTTCTTATCCCTCATTCTTCTCTACCCCTTCCAAACCAATTTTCCCTGTTTATCACAAAACAGTTTATGAAACGACCAAGAATCTCCTCAAAACGGGCTGCGTGACTAAAACAAAATACCTGAAGTTTGGCTAGAAACCGTGGTAAGTTAACTGATGTATACTGGTGTGCCATTGTCAGTGACTTTTAAAGCAACATTGCAATACTTGAATGTGTCATTGTTTTGGATTCACATGCTCCTTTCCTTGGAGGTACTGTGATTCGCAGTGCCTCTGCTGATGACAGCGACAGATACTCACAGGGCAGGAGAGGTTTTAAGACCCGCTTGATGTGGATGTAAGTCTTCTTACCTTCAACCACCTTGCTGATCTTCCATTTTCTTCCACTGCTGTTATCAACCTCAGAAACTTAAGGTCTTTTGGTATTTTTCATGGTTATGTCTTCATTTTCATGCCGCTGACCTTCATATTGACCTTCCTCTGGGATGTTCTCATTAGTTGTTACATCTTCATTAGATAGATAGATATTCTGTTTATTTCACCCACTTGCAGTAATAACGGAATTGTTGGGAAAGGTCATTGTCACATACATTTAACCATTTACATACATTCACTGAAATTCATAAGTTACAAAGTCATTAATTCTTCTGATATGACAATGTTGACGTCTTGGAAGTTGGACCCTTACACTGTAATGAGACTCAATAGTGGCAGGAGAGGGGATGATGTTCTTAAGGGGGGACATTAATTACCGCAAATGACTTTTGAAGACGATTGTACTCTTTTCTTGGTAACCTTTCAACCACAAAACTCCCTTATGGTTTCTTGTAGACATGGGGTTTCTTCCAGCGGTCATTTTCTTTCAAAAGATCAATGCATTGCTATGGCATCTCCTTTTAAAACAGAGCTCGTGCTTTATCGACTCCTCTTCTGTGAACTTGGATTTGCTCTGCCTTTAAGTCAGAGTACCTTTTAGGCTATTCTTTGCTGTCTAATCCTTTGCTAGACTTGAAAGTGAATGCCGGCCTTTTCCTTTTGTGAGAGGAGGATACCTTTGCACCAGCTATGACAAGGCTGTGTTTCACATCAATATTGAATTGGACTTTTGTGCTTCTATCGAGTATGTCCCCAAATGTCGGTTGAGAGTCGAGGAATTGTAACTCATTTGTTTTGCCTTGCATTTATGCAATAATTCTTTTTGTTCCTTTGGTACCGGAGTTGTTGGGACATGCCCACAGTGACCCAAGGCCTTTCAAGTGCAAAAACATGGGCAACTAACATTAACAAGATAGGCAAAATGTGAGAGCTCCTTGTCCAAAGACATGATGGATTTCAAGGTTGGTTTTTACGAGTCATGTTAATGGACTTAAAAAAGGTAGCTGTTCATCTATACTGAAATCTCAGCTTATTACCAGTGATATTTTCATTATCCAAAAGACGATAATCAAGGCAAAATCTACAATAAAAGTATTCCAGCACAATTTTTTTACAAAATATTAACTTTTTTTGTAAATTACTAACTGAATGTGTAAAAAGGCACCTTTTGAATTGTTAGTATGCTGAGTTGTTCCTTGAGATATTCTGTATAAGACAACAAAATTTTGTCAGTATTATCGGAATTGTCAGTATTATCAACGCAGGTTTCTTGTTGTTCCATTTACCTGTCAATGGCTTTCTTTACATCTGGCAGGTTCAAGCAGAAGCTGTCCACAAAAGAACCAATCACATCATTGAGGTTCAGGACCGTCTCTTGTTTGCTATAATTTCAATTTGCAGGTAGTTCACTCACTTTTGTTTGACTGGGGTAAAGTTCTGTCATTCTAGACCAGTACGTAAATGCAGTTAGTTAAACTGGTTTGTCCTTGATCTCAGAGTAGCCATGGTTAAAATTCAAAGTAAATTTGTTAAGATTTTTTAATGAGATAGCACTAGTAACACGGTTAGAAAGGGCAAAATATAATGCTCTTCGTGTCCAGATGCATATAATTTATTTTTAACCTTAATACCTGCCTTAATTCCATTAGTCATCCAGGGTTTAGATAGCTGCTTTGCTTTGTAATTAGATAATATTTTCATTGGAGCGTGCTTGTTGACAATTGTATTATACTTGTTGTAAAATAATGATAAAAATTTGTTCACACAATTTGTGGAATTTGCAAGTATTCAATTCTAGTCAACTTCAGACAGCTCATCGTTAAAGTGATCAGCGGAGAATCTTGAATAGTCAGTGGTGTTGGCACATGCTCAAAAACATAACCTGGGATGCTTGGATGGGCTTTGCTCTCATTAGAATTTGTAATAACAATTCTACATTTTCTAGGTTGCAGTTGATGCACACAATATTGTTATAAAAGATGGAAAAACGAGACTTAACCATGTTTTCAGGGAGTTTTTCCTTTAACATTTTGTGCTGTGTGGGGGGAAGTATCTTCTTCGTATGCACTGATTAGGGAGGTTATAGTCAGTATTCAAATAAGCATCCAGATTAGAGTTTAGGCTAAAAATATCTAAGTCGTATAAACTGTTTAATTTTACCTAGATTTTGCCTTGGCCACCAATCAAAAGAGATCGAGTTATTAAACTGCCCATGATAGACAGCCAGGTTACCTCTAAAGTTAAAGTAAGGTGGCTCATGCAATAATAATCTACTGGCCCTCTCTTTCGTTTTGTTTCTATGCAACTTCATTGTAGCTTGTTTCTAATGATAGTATCATGTAAACGAGAGTACTTAGCTCAACTTTGCAATGTCACTGTTTGAAAGTCTTATAAACTACTCTAATCCATACTGGTCTGGCCTCCCCACCAACAAATTCCAAAGTTACGCAACAAGTCCCCAAGGTGTGTTAGGAATTCAACTGTATCATCGAAAGGGGTAACAAGCTTGACTCACCCTTTAGCTGAATCAGTCGCATACTGTGTTCTTCCTTCAAAACAAATACCAGGGAAGATGGGAAGCAAGTGAACATTCACAATGCAAAAGAGGCATTTTTTTCTTTTTAT